CTTAAGGGAAATTTACGTTGGCGCAGAGCGCAAATTTCCCTTCGCTGAGCGCTGAGCACACTGGAATTTCACATTTAAGGTACATTTGCTCTTTGCACTGGAATCAAGCGGCGATTCATGCATGACTTTTCGAATGCATCAAAAAAAAAAAACAAAAAGAGTTGAGAACTTTAAGATCTACATAAAAGACATCAACTATAGATATATCAAGAATTTATTTATTATAATGCGTCAATTGTGCTTTATGCCAGATATATTGATTATACACTTTATGATTTTGTTTTCTGTGTGCATTTTTCATGCATTTGTTTATAGGCAATTCAGTCTATGTGCTTTTTATAATAAGCCTCATAAGTATTCTCCCCATGCTTCTTCCTTCTATTATTGTCAGAATACCTTCAACCTAACCTAACCTAACCTGTTAGTTGTGGTTCATTATATCCATTATTTATCTGTACAAATCTCATCTTTGGCTTCAACTGTGATATAAAACACATTACACATTCCTTGTTTACTTCTCCATTAGGAAAATAAGTGATTTTTTGCTTTTTATACGGCCCGTACATTACATTGCGAACGGAAGTTTTTGCTTTTCCTTAACGATTCTTCGGACACAACATGAAAATACACTTTTTTTTCTGGATTAAAGAAGTTTAAATACCCTATACCCGATATAGATATAGATATTGATATAGATATAGATATAGATATAGATATAGATATAGATATAGATATAGATATAGATATAGATATAGATATAGATATAGATATAGATATAGATATAGATATAGATATAGATATAGATATAGATATAGATATAGATATAGATATAGATATAGATATAGATATAGATATAGATATAGATATAGATATAGATATAGATATAGATATAGATATAGATATAGATATAGATATAGATATAGATATAGATATAGATATAGATATAGATATAGATATAGATATAGATATATATAGATATAGATATAGATATAGATATAGATATAGATATATTCCAGTTGAGCATATCTAGCGTTTGACTATAAAATATAGGGTATATAGGGTATATGAGATGCCATGCTCTGAATGTTCGCAAGTGTTTTTCGCATTTCTGGCGAGCTGTAAAAATATTCTGCTTTGATATTTGGATTGATTAGGTCAAGGTTGGGCATGTTTTATTTCACACTCTCGCAAATCGCTTTGTTTTTGTTAAAAGCAAAATTAAAATACGTGCCCCATGATGAATTCTCATTTTGCTGCTTGATTTCATTCGTTTCTGTCAAATTCCTGCCAATATCCAGCTAAGCCCCCTCCCCACCTATGTGTATCTACCTGTTGGGATTAAGACATTGCATCTAATGAGCTTCATGGTCAAGGTGTGGCCAGCAGGCGGCACACTACAGCTGAGGCATATGGATTTCCTTATGCGAACTTCTTTCATTCTTCTTTCTGCTCAATATTTGCTCCGTTCTTGGATTTTACATTATAATTGATCAAATCATATCGAGAAGAGGGAACTGCATATTAAAACTCTCCAAAGAATTTTCCACTCTCCAAATAAAGCCCAACTCTCCATGAAAAATATGCAACTAACATAAAATATTGTATAGTAGATGTAATTACCCGGCATTGCCCGTGGCAAATGAATAATGTTAAAAGTACACGCAAAATTGAATTTCTTTGATTGAATTGAACTTCAGTTGGAATATATATATATATAACTATAAAGATAAAAAATTTGTGAAACATATAAGCATGGGGATATTTGTAAAATATTTTCAGTGATTGCCAGCAGACAGTTCGATTCGGCTCAGACTAAAAAGTAAGATAGATTCATACACAGCTCAAAGCAAAATTTTTCTTATGAAATATCTGTTCCTTAATATTTGGCACGCATTAGCTTAGATAGACTATGCTGTATTTCAATTGATTCTGGTGAGTATTCAATGAACTACGAATGCCAAATACTCTTTTGATTTGCTTTAGTTTGGGCTAAGCATTAGGCTATATTGTATTGGGATCAGTTCGGGCTCAGGTCAGTTGTGGAGTAGGTTTAGTTTGTTTTGGGATCAGTGAGGTGAGTTTAGTTGATGTACGGGTGAGTTTCGCTCGAGGTGAGTTGTGAATGGGGCACCGTTGAAATGAGTTTAAAGTGAGGTTAAACAAGATGAGCTTAGGTTGTCTGATAAAAACTAGGGTATTAACTAGTCGGGCTATGTGTCATAACGCTCAAGGCGATTAAAATATGACATTCAATGGCCGGTTGTGCATGTGTGTTGGTATATGTATATATATATATATGTGTGTGTGTGTGTGTGTGTGTGTGTGGGTCAGCAAGGCAAAAATGTAAATTGAATTTCTGTTATGAATGCAATCAATTAAAATGTATAAATACAAACACAACTAAAAGCCAAATAAAACATGAGAGCAGCCAGCTAGACGGCTAGTTCAATCAAGTGAGGGGGCGTGGGGTTGGGTGAAGGCTACGAAATCTGAAACTGGAAATGATTTATAATTAAATTGCATTTGTTTAAATGCCAGAGAGATGGGCTTTTTAGTGGCCAGATGAAAGTTGTTTAGGCAACGCAATTGTATGTGTGCGTAGTTGTCAGCGGGCATGGTGGTGGAAGGGGGGTGGGGGCGGGGTCAGGGGATTGGCGTTAAGCAATTGCATATTGGCTTGTTTGTTTAGATAAAATAAACATTGGTATATTTTTGTGAAATTTATTTGTGTTGCGCTTCAAAGCTGACACGGACACTCCAGTCGAACAGGCTGGTTGGTCAGATATTGGCCATAGGGTTGCCACACTGGCGAAATTTTTAGTTTTGAGGTTAGGTTCAATGGTTGCAAGCTAACCTCAAAGCGAAGTTTTTACCATACATCTTTCTTTTTTTCAGGTTTTACCAACTTGGAAACGCCCAGCAAATAAATTCTCATTTCTTCTAAACTAATGTTTTTTTTTTCGCGCTCCGTAGAATAAAGCTTCAATATTATCGTAGGGTATCCATAGTGTGTAGTGTATGTGTAACATTGAAAAACAAATTTTTTTTTTTTATTTGTTTTTTTTTTTTTATAATTTTGTATAAGCGCCACATTGAAGTGCAGAAATTTGTATACGTTTATGGTATAGAGTTGTAAGTGGATTTTGAAGAGTTCTTGAAGATCTTTTTGGACTGAAACAAATCGAAAAATTGGGCCGTTTGCTATGAACAAAGCCTTTTCCTCTAGCCTTATCCAGGTATTATACTAGACTTCTGTTGCCAGCTCAGGTAAGCAACAGCTGGAATTTCGGCTGCAATAGCTGCCTGCATAATGTTTCCAAATGCCTGCCAGGACATGGCACCATCGAGACGAAGGGCAATTAATGTGGTCGCCACACGCAACTCGAAGCAGTGGTCGCGCAACGAGATCATATCGTGGATAAATGAGACCTTGGACACGGATGTGGAGAAGATTGAGGATCTGTGCACGGGCGCTGCCTATTGTAGTCTGATGGATATACTATTTGCTGACCTGGTGAAAATGCGCAAAGTGAAGTTTGTGTGCAACCAGCCGACGGAATATATTGAGAACTTTCGGGTGCTCCAGCAGAGCTTTAACGAGGTGCATGTGAACACGCCCATTAACATTGAACAGCTGGTCAAGGGAAGATTCCAAGATAATTATGCGTTTGCGATATGGTTCAGGCTCTTCTACGAGTCCAACTTTCAGCGAACACCCGATGGCTACGATCCACGAGCGGCACGCGCCAATATGCCCATTGCCATCGGCCAGGCTAGCCTGTATCCAACGGCGGTGCGCGCCCGATCTGCGTCGCCGTGCACACATCACGAGCCCAGACAGCTGACGCGCAGCAAGACCATGGTATTGCATGGCTCCCAATCGCAGTCGAGTGCCTGCAGTGACAGTACACCGTCTACACCAAAATCTGACGCGGTGACATCAAAGGCGCAACCAGTTACGGCGAGAGTACAGCCGGGCATATCAAGAGCGCGGCGAGGTTCAGCCAGAGCTCAGGCAGGCACATCGAGAGAACTGGCCGGTACAACAAAAGTTCAGCCTACAGCCAGTACATCACGAGCTCTGGCGTCTACACCAAAAGTTCAGCCCGCTACATCACGTGTACAGCCCGGTACATCACGTGTACAGCCCGCTACATCACGTGTACAGCCCGCTACATCACGTGTACAGCCCGCTACATCACGTGTACAGCCCGGTACATCACGTGTACAGCCCGCTACATCACGTGTACAGCCCGCTACATCACGTGTACAGCCCGCTACATCACGTGTACAACCCGCTACATCACGTACGCAGCCTGCTACATCAATAGCGCAGTTCAGTTCTTCAACGGCACAGTCGCAATTGGATTCAAAAACCCAAGTGCTTGCGCCGCAAATCAAGAATTTGCCATATCTTATATTGCCCATACCCGATTCGCTGACGCCGCGCGGCAATCTGACATTTATAGTGGATCGGGCGCTCGAACCGGCGGAGGAGAAAAAGGAGAAAACGGAGCCAAAAGAAACGACGACGACGTCCAAGTTCTTTCGCTGGTTCGAGATGTTCATGTCCAAAAAGAGTCAAGGCAACAACGGCAAGAGTTAGTATGAAGCTGCTGCACACAATCCTTGAGCCATAAAAAAAATGGCATAAGACTTTAATTAAACAATTTCTTGCAAAGGAGCTCGCTTTGAAAACGATTACTTGTTTGGCCTTTTTATCGTTACGCTATAAATTTATGGCACAATCTGCCAGGATCTAATCCATTATGGTCGCCTTATGGCAGCCGGGTCTTGAACCCGGCGAATTCGCGTATAGTATGCGTGAAGTTGGCAGCGTTTTTTTTAGAACGCCTGCCGCTACACTTAGCCAAGACACACACCCGATATTTATTGCTTGGCCATGCTTCAATTCGCTAGGGAAATTACTGTTAGAAAAGTCCTGGTAATGCTTAGCAAAGACACACAGCCGCCATATTTGTTGTTTAGCAAAGACACAATTTGAGCTCGACATGCATAAACTCTTATACAAAAAGTACTTTTATTTGGGTATGTGTATTTAATTCACAATGAATGTTCAAAAATTACTTGAAAAGTTGTTTTCAGTGTAAGCACATGTTGGAAAATTCATCTTGGATGAAATTCCAAAAGATTGTCTGTCGCTGCGTTTCAAATGAAAATATGTATGTGTGAGATGTATGTCTGTCTGTATATATACATGCATACATACAGCCCTTCTATGCAATTCTCATGAATTTAATGAAGACCATGTTTTGATTATTGCACTCTCTTAATAACTCTCTCGCAGTCTTCTTCACTTTGTAACCAAGTTGAAATCGTCTATATTCATGCAATTATATTAACACGTGTATTATATACATATGGGGATTATTTTGAAAGATATGGACGACAACTATTTGCGGCTGTTTAGCACACGCTTTGCATACTCGGATATGTGGAGCACGCCGTATTTGGGCGAGGCAATGTGTAGATTCTGGCCATTGCAATAGTCCGTATTGATGTGCGGGTTATGCAGCTCGGCGATCAGCGTGGAGCAGGCCGTTGACGAGTCGCCCGTGGACTTGAGCATTTTCTGCAAAGAGCCAAGGCATGTGATAAATGTAGTTAAATGGAAGGGGCACTGTGTGCTCAACTCACCATCCAGAACTCATTGCCTGGCAGGGCATTGCCGTCCCAGGCGTAGGAGACAACCAGCAGCATGTCGGCATGTTCCGGCTTGGTGAGCTTCTGTGCCGGATTCCGTTTCGACAGATGCACACGTATGCCGCCCTGTGGATGTTGCGAGGACTTGATAACAGCGCCGTTTTGTAGGCCACCGCAGCGTTCCAGCTTGAACCAGGAGAAGTGCACGACGCCTATGTGGGTCAGACGTGGGCTGAGTGCACGCAAGCGCTGCTCGAAGGTCTCGAGAAAGATTTGCTCCTGCTGCGGCGCCACCCGCCAGACGCCCAGGCCAAAGCCGACGACATGGACGTACGCCAGCTTGCCGGCCTTGGCGGCACGCGCCTCCGCCTCCAGGAGCAGCATGTCAAAGCTGATGGCATAACGACGCTTCATGACCAGATTGTCGAACACATCCTGTTTGTTGCCCGAGACGCCAAAGCGCTTGCCATCGATGCTCACCTCGTTGCGCAGATAATCGCGCGTCTCGTAGAAGGTGCGCCACAGGCGGCGATAGTCCTCGGCGCGCGTATGGGCCGGAGCATCCGGCGACTGGCCGTAGCCGTGCTCCTTGGTGTTCTGCTGGCGCGCAATGACAATGTCCTGGAACTCCATTAGATTGCGGCGCGACAGACGAGCACCAATCAGGCCCACAATTACACCCTCCGGCTCCAGGCTATGACGATTGTGTGTCACACGGCCGCAATTGGCGCGTTCGCCCTCATTGATGAACTCCGTGTGCGAGCTGACGGAGAGCAGCGCCGACAGTTTGACATCATCGTAGCTCAGCACATCCTCCAGCAGCAGCGGCGGCTGCTCCTGCTGCGTGCCAATCGGCTCAAAGCCGCTGGCGCCGCGCTCGCCGCTCAGCAGCAGGAATTTGTCGTTGCGCGCAAAGAAGCTGGCACAGCGCTTGCTCAGCAGACGCTGCACAAAGCCGGTCAGCGACAGACGCCGATAGACGGGCAGCTCCACTTCGTTGCCTGGCAACATTTCCAATTAGCCAATGCCACATCTAGATCTGTGTCGTCCACTTACCCCACTGCCCCTTGTGCTCCAGATACTGTAGATACAGCGCCAGGGTGCGCTCATGCAGCAGCGGATAAACAGAAGCTATCTGCTGTGCAATGCATCCATGACGCGCCTTCGGCTGACTCCGCACACGGCAGCTCTCCACGCCAAACTGTTTGCGAATTCCAATTTGAGCAAGTTCGTTAACAAAATACATGTCCTACGCACCTCGAGCGGAAACTCCATTGATTTGGCCATAAATGCGGACACATCGACTGTCGCCTCGGGATCGGGCATCTTCAGGGATGTGCATTGCTCCAACAGGCGGCGACCGAAGGGGGTCAGTTCTGGCTGTGAGCTGGCATTGGCCGGTGGCCAAATTGCGTCCACTTCAGCACCAAATGTTGACATCGTGTGAATCGTTCAATTTCACAATTATATTTAACAACAGGTTGTCTGGCGTGCGGCATTTTATAAGCAATGCTTGCGCTGTAAACATAAGTTAAACGGAGCATATTGACGAGTGTGACCAACTTCTCATAAACTAATAAGCCGCAATCAAATCAAACTATATTGCACATATTTTCTCACATGAAATCTTCTTCAATTTGTATCTATTTATTTAGCTCAAAATCTTCAATTAGTTGCTATTTTATGCGCACATATTTTTAATAAAACATTATGCTGTAGCATACACCCCTGCCAGCCAGGGTATGCCAGAGTCGCATACCAGCTGCTGTTATACAGCACTTGATGCATGCACATGACGATTGCTGATTGGCCAGTCTGGTGAAATATCCATCAGCGCAAATGGCAAATGCACTGTTAAGGTTAGAATGCAAGTTTCGCCAATCGCTGAAACTATTTTATTCTACGTTTTATTAGACTTCTTTCAAAGCATAGTCTTGTATATTACTACTGTTACATTATTACTGATTTATTTCCAACAGCTGCTCTACCGGCTTTTAACACACTGACACATTCACATATTTACCAACACTTTTGCGCTTATTAACACTGGCTCAGCGGCTGCAGCGTATTTGTTTTTGTTTTCGTTAAGCTTTGCGCTGAAATGTTTTTAATATTGCCCGCTTTTTGTAGGTGATGCGCAAGTTATTTGAAAAGTTAAGTCACAAGCTTCCGATCAGCAGCCGCAGCAAAATGATGCAGTCCTGGCCCAATCCGGATGCCCAGTTGCCGCACCTAAGCGACTTTGCCAGGCAACAGCTGGCAATGTGCAAGCGGCTGGACAAACCATGCACAAAGCCCGACGCTGTTGATTTGGCTAAGTTTATGGCAGTTTCGGACAGCTTTCCCATTGAGGTAGGAGTCCCGCCATGCATCAGTATTGGCGGCTAACCTTAAATCTGATCGATCTGCAGTTTGGCACAAATAGCTCCCGGGTGAAGTCGCAGCCGTTGGAGCGCCGCCCGTTCATACGCCAGCAGATAGCGTCGGCCTATCCGATTATACACGAGCTGACACTGTTTCTCTACCTCAACTTTCTGGAGCACAAACAAAAGTTCGGTTAGCATACATTAGTTTGGGTATTCTCTTACATTTATCTTAATGTTGGTTCCTTTGGACAGGCAACGCCCAAGAATTGCATGTTTATAGGAGTCTTTCGCTGGTGGAATTTGTGCAGCGTCTGCTCAGTAAGCGTTGTGTCTATTTCTTCGGTTCGTCAGACTCGTTTATGCTGCTGGTCGGCAGCAGGGGTGCCGGTGGCTTCGAGCAGATCGGCACCAGCACAGAGCGTGCTCCACTTGTGCTTGAGAATGTGCTCGGCTATGATGAGATCAAGCTATCGGCCTTGCTCTATGTGTCCACGCACTCGGAATTCATTAATGACGGCTCGCGCTCAAATGCAGGCAAAGTGGAACTGGACAAGTCCAAGATTGAGACCGACGGTGTCATCATGGGCCTCATTGGCGCGCGCTTCGAGCGCAACAATGTCATGGAGTGCGAGGACATATTGATAACGCCCGAGCAAAATACTGCAGACCGCGGCTATGGCACCAATGGCAGCGACAATCGAGCGCAGGACTATCGTCGCATATGGCGGCAGTTCTATGAGGAGCCCAAGGACTACTGCTACAATGATGTCCAGGCGGATGGCAAACGCTTCATAGAGCTGGACAGCAAGTTGCTATTCGATAAGCTGCTTATGAGCAAGCGCTACGCCATCAGCTTTGATACGCTGCTGCTGGAAGCGGAAGCACGCGCCGCCGGGGCGGGCAAACCGGCGTACATACATGTCGTGGGCATTGGCCTGGGCGTATGGAAGGTGACGCCGCACCAGGAGGAGATCTTCTTCGAGACCTTTGAGCAGCGTTTGCGTGCACTCAGTCCGCGTCTGACGCACATAGGCGTCGTGCACTTCTCCTGGTTCCATCTCGATAAATGGGGCGGCATATTTGATGGCGCCTGCATAACGGAGCCACAGCATCCGCAGGGCGGCATTAAGGTGCACATCTCCGTGCGCAATCCGGCAGACAAGCTCACGGAGAACATGCTACCCATTGTGACATACGCCTGGGATGGCAATGCCCTGCCGGGCAACGAGTACTGGGCGGTAAGCAGCTCGTCCCAACAGAGTTCTATTATTTAAATATTTAATCACTTTCAGAAAGTGCTTGTTGGCACTGGCGATCCGGCAGCTGCGTGCTCCACGCTCATAGCCGAGCTCCAGAATCCGCACATTAATGCCGACTATATGAACGGCAACAATCTGCACATTGCATCCATGCAACACGGCGTCCTCCATGTTGCTGACTATGCTAAGACGGTGCTCGACTTGGACTAGAACTAGGACTTCCGCGACTTGCAAGAGATGCTCAAACAGTTAATGTAAACCCCCCGCCCCAAGTAGAGGATGACTGCACTTGTTTATCTCTTATACTTTAATATATATATGCGTATATATATATATATATATATCTATCTATATTTTATACTCATCTTTGTCGGATTTGTGTAACTTACGCTTGAAGCGAACTAGTACGCATAGCTGTCTTTTGTTTAATTGCAAAATGCTTCTAAAACATATTATATAGTATAATGATTATGTGATAGTCATTTTGTAATTTGCTAACAATGTTTTCAATTAGATTGAAAATTATTGCACAAAGCGCTAAAGTTTCTAATTGCAGGCAGAAAATATTTTGTTTATATGATTTGGCAAAGTGAAAAGAAACAATTTAAAATAACTTTTTGTGAATTATTTAAATGTTTTGTTTTGCCAATTAACGTGACATTAATATTCGCGTAATTCTTTTTTCAAATCAGGCATCTTTAATAGATTTATAGCAAGATTTTATATATAAATATATATGTATGTTAAAATACATAGCCACATCTTGGGGTCGATTGTAAAAATGTCCAAAAATGTTAATTGCATATGGACTTGGGCATATTATAGAAGCAGCTAGCCAGGTAAGACATGGCAAATAATCAAGGAGATGCTGCTTAAATCGTGCTAGACAGTCCAAATTTGGGGGGAACAGGGGCGGAAGTGAAAAATGAATGTTTAGCTGTTGCTTAAATTTGTTACAAAAAAAGTATTTAATAAATCATTTAAAATTAGGCTGAGACACTGCAACACATTCGCTCTCTGTACACGCGCACGCACAAGTTGCACAGGGATTACACAACGCGCTTGACCTCAAAGAAGCGTTTCAGGTAATACACCTGGCCGACGGTCATCAGAACCAGGACGAGCGCCTCAAAGGTCGACCACAAGACGACACGCGAGTTGGTGCTCTCGTTGACCGAACGATGAATCTTGTCGCGCACCTGCAGCAACAATCACAAAAGAGAAAGAGAGAGACAGAGAGAGAGAGAGAGAGACAGAGTTAGTGGCATGTTGCAACTTGCAACTGGCAACAGCTGTGCACTCACATGCATGTACTCCTGCTCGTGCTTGACGCTGGTCAGCGTGCCGGATAGCTCGCGTATCATGTCCTCGAGCTTGGTGTGGCCCACCTCCTCTTCACCGGGTGCGCCCGGTGCACGCTGCGGTGCATCGCCCATTTCAATGGAGAACATGACCAGTTTGGGTGTCATGCTGCTGCGCTCGTTATTAAAGCAGACGGTATAGACACCCTTGGCCGGCGCAACGAATGTGAACTTGCCCGAAGATTCCTTTTCGCTTTCGTGCATCACATGCTGATCGGGCCCGGTGATTTTGATGTCCACATCTAGGAAGCCGCCCTCAATCACCTCGAATGTCACGCCTGCAATTGGACACTGTTGTTATGGCCCGCAATAGGTGTATATTTTTGCTAGCGATTTACTCACCGAATTTTGTGCCACCTTCGACATTCTCGAAGAAACATTCCTCGTTATGCGCATCCACGCTGACAATGAAGGCCTGGCCCGCAGTTGACAACAGTATTAGGCCACATAATGTGAGCAGTAGCTTGGCAACTGTTGTTTGCATTGTGCTGTCAATGTTTTAAGCTGATTTTCTGATAGTTTTGCGTGGAAATTGTTATAAATTTTCCAAACAGCGGCAGCCACGTAGTTGTACTTGTGTCGATTGGCAATATCGATAGTCGTGTGTGTTATCGAGCTGGCAACTGGGCATTGTAGCCGTTGCCATAAAAATACTAGCATTCAATTTGGAGCTTAAAACGGGCACACACAAGACTAAAAGTGTGCGCTAGCTTTCAAATAAGAGAACTAACTTAATAGCATAATCAAACGATATAATTATTAAGACTATGCAAGTGACTTGTTTAGATAAGCATTAAATATGCATAAATACGTCCTTAGGAGGTTATTTCAAAAGTGCATGGTGATTTTAAGCCTAAAAAGACCTAAATTTATATCTTTAAATAACTATGCTGCTTATTGAGCATAATTATATAGTATATTATTAAGTGACGGCTTTCTGCAGGTTAAATTGTATATGTTATTAGATATATATTTTAAGGCAACTAAGCGCGCGCTGTTATAACAGACCTTTAACAGCCGCATATCACTGTTAAGTATCGCTAGTACAGTAAAAATACTGAATACTATCGATATTTGCCGTTTTTTGGGCATTTTATGTTATTGCAAAATACAGTAGCGACAGCTTTATTTTGAATCTGCAAATTAACAGTTAGCTGTAAACCTTTAAGCCTGTCGGATGCTGTGCACGCAAAAGCGAAAAATTCAACGCGCTTAAAATAAATACAATAGACTTTGGATCACGTGCATATTGTCCTTATAATATTATTCAATTTTTTTTGTTGTTGTGCTGTTTTGAGTGCAGTGAACATACAATTTGTGAATTAATTATTGTTGTTTAGGTGCGACAAGTGTGCCAAGCAGCGTTGAGCGCATCAATCAAACGTAATTGCAAGCCAAACCACAAACAAAAACAACGCCTGGCCGATGCCATGGCTACTGATTTGGACGCCACGTGCAGACGGCGTCGCCGACACATTCAGCGACAATAGTTGGTATTGCCGACAACAACAATAATATTATTAACAGCAACAACACGAACAGTTGTTGACCATAAAGCCCAAAAGCTGAAAGTGGCGCCGCAGCATCTTTAAGTGTTTTGGTCACACCATAAATCAAGTGACAGGCGGCTCCGCGAACGGCGCGCCTAAACAAAACTCATTTGCACACGTTGTCCTTAGTGCCGTGTTTCTTTGTCGCAGCAGCAGCAGCAGCAGCAGCGGCAGCGCATAAATTTGCCAACAGTTGGCCGCGCCGCACGCACACTGTCCACCAACGCCAACGGAAGTGGGGGTAAGTCTTGAGATATTATTTATACATACATATCTGTATATAAATATATATTGCATACTTTTGTGCCACGCTCAGGGCAATGGCTGGCAATGCGCTCGCCTTTTGCCCCACTGTGCGCTCGCATATTCAAAATTGTGCTGCTGCGAAAGTGCCGTTATGTAGTAGCCCAGCACGCATTCAATGAGCAGGCAAGCAGACTGCGCAGCAAAGCACCGTTAGCGGACATCATTTGGCAAGTGCCGTTAATCGGGTGTCTGTCCGTCATTTCCCATTGCGCATTAGATTAGACTAGAAACAAATAAAAATATGCGATTTCGACTGCGCTTATTAATTATAACGAATTCAAAATTGGGCCAAACGGTTAACGGTAATTAGCATTGTTGCAGCTTTTGGTTATTTCCTTTTTGGCTCCGACTGCCCGCTGGCTTCTGGCCTTAAAATTTAATGTTGCCTGCACAACTCTGGCCAGAACAACAACAGCAGCAGCAGCAGCAGCGCAGCAGCAACTACACGCTGGCAACTCTAGCCCCCCTCCAACCCCTGTCCCTCTTTACGCGTCGCCTGCCTTTGCCCGCGTCTTGGCGTTTGCATTTTTGCCTGATTTATGCCAAAGGCAACAAAAAGCGCAAAATTATGATAAATCGCCACAAGTCGAAAATGTTAAGCAAAAAAGTAAAGCGGAAATATATATACATATATATATATATATATATATATTTATATATAAATTTGTAAGTAAAGCGAGTTAAGAAATTGCCATGTTTTATCCATAAATTTCGTGTACATATTTTGGCACGGTTATTCCCTTGTCGCAATTATAATAAACAAATTTGGTACCAACATGAACATAAATTTAGAAAATATCGACTGCTGCAAGCTAAGCGATATGCTATAAATTTTAACGGTCGTAAACTTGGTGCGGGGCATTACGATCTCGCGATGATAGGGTGGGAGAGAACCAGAGAAAAGAGAGGGATTCGGAGAGATGAGAAGGTAGGCCCTTTTCTTTTGTGTGTTCAATAAGAAGAGCGAGACAGAGAGAGGGAGAGAGAGAAAGAGAGAGAGAGAGAGAGAGAGAGAGAGAGAGAGAAGGAGAGAGAGAGAGAGAGAACGAGAAAGATAGAGAGCAAGAGAGTGACAGAGAAGCAGGCAGAGAAGAAAGCGAAAGAGCCACAAGTGCGCTCAGCACACAGTTCGATAAAGAAACGGAGAGAGACAAGAAGAGAAAGAGAGAGAGAGAGAGAGAGAGAGATACATATGTGATGCGCACATCTCGTAGCCCGCATCGGCATTCAAAGAATGCCCGACTGACTGTCAAAGCATACATTTTGACAGGAGGATGTCAACGAAATGTCTCGAATGAGTGCAATTTTGACAACGGGATTAGGATGTTACAGTTTTCTGTTATGTATGTAGATATATTATTGGATAGTTAGGTTTATTAGCTTTAAATTTGTTGTCATCCTTGAAAAGGTGTGCGCAAACATTTAACAGCAGTTGTTCAGTTCGACAGGCACTCGGTCGCAATATAGAGGGATTTCATGTAATCGTGAAGAGCAACTCTTGTTGGTAAATGTGCTCCTGATTTATTTATCATTTAGTTTAATTTGAAATGCAGTTTCAGTTTTGGGTGCCAGCTAAGCTACGAGCTTAATGCGACCAGTTCCAAATGCGGCTGCCGAAAAGGACGGTGTGACATAAAGGAAATCATTTGGACGCATTTACATGCGCTCATTTGGGCCAAAAGTGGTCATTGGTTTGGCTCATTAATATGAAATGGTCAGTCAAAACTGCAGCAATTAAATATGCAAGCTGCGGTCACCTTAAAACCGAGCTGAATGCGAGCCAGGGAGCGGGGCACGGGCGGGGTATTGGCAGCGGGGGCCAAGGGCAAGCGTGGCAGTGCGGGCGAAAGCGAGACAGACAGCTGTACCGCAAAGTCATGGAGCTGAAAGCGGCACCAACGCTTGACTGATTTAATGCATGTCAAAGTGTCAAAATGTGAAATGCACAAAGAAAATGGACACGCCCCGAACGCCGCCTCTCAACCCAATGCCGGGCCAGCCTCAAGTGGGGCGGGACCGCAATGACCAAATGGGTGACACACAGCCAAACAATTATAAATGATAAATGCCCGGCCCAGTGAAAACGAGAAACAAGTGGCGACTGACCGACTAGTAGATACCCTGCATCGGGCAGAGCAAGCATATATGCCTTTTCTGCTTTCCCCAGCATAACATTCTCTCCCTCTCCCCCTCTCTCTCTCTCTCTCGCTCTTTGAGCTAGCAGATGTCTATATACATTTCTTTCATATAGTCTCCAAATTTTGTAAATGTAGCTTAAGCAATCCTCGTCAAGCGGTAAGAAATATCTAAGCTGAAATTCGATATCGATATCGACTTATCGATTATAAAAATACCAGGCTAATTATTGGAAAAACTGAAAGGCTTGATGTGCTGTAGCTCTTCTTACCCTTCTTATACGCGAAGCCTGCTACAAACTCCTGCAAACCTGCAATATTTTTAATGTGTACAGGGTATTGAGAGTGACGAGTGCTGCGGTTGGGGTCGACCGGAGGGGGACGGGTTGGGGTAATGCTACACAGTTGCTTAACATTTAAACACACATATATTTAAGTTAATTTGGCTCAGCTCATTAATAAAGCAACACCCCACTGTCCCCTTTGCAGAACACACGCACACACACTCGCGCGCACACACACACACACAGGCAGAGGCACATCAACAGTTGCTCAAACTTTAAAATGTTGTTGTCCTTCTTCCGCTGGGGCTGACAAATGACAGGCGCTTGCATAATTTATGCATAATAAACCGAAGCGACGGTAAAATCAACTTATTAAAAATACGCAACTACTATAAATAACAAAAAGAGCTAGAGAGAGAGAGAGAGAGAGAGAGCGAGATGGACAGAGAGTGGGTAAGGGTGGGCGAGTGTGGGAGCGAGATGGCCAGCACAACTTTTAGTGTTTTTTTTTCCACCCATACAAGAGGCCGCGAAACTGAAGCGCGAGGTTTTCGTGCCGACCAACAATTTGGTGTCAAGTGGCAACAATAACAACAGCAACAGCAACAACAACAACAGCAACAACAACAGGAGCGACAACGATTACAACTAACGGTAATAGCTGTACATGACAACCGACCAAAACTGTTGGCATAATATTAACAACAACAACAACAAGAACAAGAAGAACACCCAACAGCTTGTCAGAGGCAGCTGCTTGCGATGCGCTCACGAAGAGTCTCACAGCTTGGCTAACACGTTTGCCACCATGTGGCACATGTCGTGCTCTTGCAGTTGTTAACTTTTTTAACATGCATTTTAACAACAAGTTGCAAAGCTTTTAACAACATGCTCTGAGTGCCCGGTTTGTAAAGCGATTGCAAAAAGTTTGTTCGAAGAACCAAAAGTGAAACGTTTAAGAATGCGGCACAAAGCGTAATTGATAAGACAAAACATAGCGAGAGCGCAAATGTACTCAAATGTCAGTTGCCAAGCACTTTAACAGGCACCTTTTTTTTAGCATTCATTGCAAAGGGACTTGCAAGTGTTTAAGTAGCAAAAATTTGAAGCCTTCAGCTGCTGGAATTTGTGTGTTTTCAATGCGTAAACTATTATTTTGTATACAATAATTTTTTATTCATCCACAAAAAGCCCTAAACAGAAACCTAGATAAATTGTTGATGGTATATATGTTATAATATTTACAATAATGTTTCATATACAAACATAGTTCTTTCCAAGTTTAAGTTTTAAATCAATTTTACAGAGTTGTCAGCCTATCGATAATTAAGCGCAGCCAACTTCAGCCTCGTCTGTTATCGATTAAAGTTGAGGTAATGCTCAAGTCTGAGCTGTTGTAATATTGCGTTTGTTATATTTATAAGCGTTTAATAACATTTTTTACAAATTTTATAAAAGACCAGTGTGGCCAACTTGTTTAGACCGGCCACCCATTAGGGTATTAAAGCGTTCGTTGTGCTGCACTTTCTATTTCTGCTCAAATTTATAGTTATTGTTGTTGTGGCAGTCGCTGCTTGCTTAGCTAAGCGTTTCCCATTGCTTTGCTGATTTATGCGCCCAAACAGTGCATGCTAAAACACACACACACAGTCACACACGCACGCACACCCACGCACACTCGCATTCGCACTGCTGCTCAAACTGTAAGCAGTGCACACACATAAATTAAGGTAAAGCAACTCTTCGCTGGCTCCTGTGAGGCGTCTCGCTCTCCCTCGCCCCTCTCTCTCTCTCTCTCTGTGTGTGTGTGGGTGAGTGATGCGTTTTCTTAACCTTATTTTTGTGTGCACTACTTAAACACAGACTCACACACGCACACACACACACGCTCGCATATAAAGTTGCACCCACTTGAATTCTGCCATTTGACCCTGGCTGAGCACCACGATGATGATCGGCCTGATAATGATAATCATGTTGATATGTGACTTCGATGGCAAAGCAATTTTGCAAATTGCACAAACACGACACACACACGCGACACACACACACATACAGGCAGCTGATGGTAACTGTAAGCGTTAGCGTGCCGTTATTTCTACACGCACACACACACACACTTGGTCGCACGGTGCGTATGATTAATTTAAATGCAATTCTATTTGCATAGTACAGCAACAGACACACACACACACACACACACACATGCACACTAGCAGCTGCAGCATACTTCACTTCACGTCTCTTCTTTGCGCTTCTCACTTCAAGCAATATTTGTTTGTTTTTCTTTTTGCCTTTCTTTTGCTGCTCAACCATTGACATTTGCCTTGCCTCTTCCCCACTCTCCCATGTGTGTGTGTGTGTGTGTGTCTTATGCTAATGTGTTTGTTTCTTGAAGCGTGCGCTGCATTGCATTCAGTGGCCGCTCTGCCGTCGCCCCCCTGGTAGCTTTTGTTTTCACTATTTGTTTGCTTAAAGCGCTTGAAATCAATTAAATGCATAGTTTCGAGTTGCTC